TTGAGTTTCTCTCCATTTAGTTTGATGTTGGCTGTTGGGTTACTGTATGTTGTTTTTATTATGTTCAGGTATGTTCCTGTTATTCCTGATTTCTCCATGACCTTTATCATGAAGGGATGTTGGATTTTGTCAAAGGCTTTTTCAGCATTTAGTGAGATAATCATGTGGTTTTTCTTCTTCAGTTGGTTTATATGGTGGATTACATTGACAGATTTTCAAATGTCGAACCAACCCTGCATCCCAGGGATGAAGCCTACTTGATCATGGTGGATGATTTCTCTGATGTGTTCTTGCATTCGGTTTGCCAGTGTTTTATTGCGTATTTTTGCATCTATGTTCATGTGGGATATTGGTCTGTAGTTCTCTTTCTTAGTTGTGTCTTTGTGTGGCTGAATACCAAGCTAATTGTAGCCTCATAAAAAGAGTTTGGCAATAAAACTTCTCTTTCTATTGTGTGGAACAATTTGAAGAGTATTAGTATTAGCTCTTCTTTGAATTTCTGGTAGAATTCTGCACTGGAGCCATCTGACCCTGGGCTTTTTTTAGTTGGGAGAATTTTGATGACTGCTTCTATTTCCTTAGAAGTTGTAGGTCTGTTTAAGTTGCTTATCTGTTCTTGATTCAATTTTGGTAAGTGATATGTGTCTGGAAAATTGTCCATTTCTTTTAAATTTTCAAATTTTGTGGAGTACAGGTTTTCAAGGTATGAACTGAAGATTATCTGGATTTCCTCAGTGTTCATTGTTATGTCCCCCTTTTCATTTCTGATTTTGTTAATTTGCATGTTCTCTCTCTGCCTTTTGGTTAGTTTGGATAAACATTTGTCTATCTTGTTGATTTTCTGGAAGAACCAACTCTTTGTTACATTGATTCTTTGAATTGCATTCTTTGTTTCGACCTTATTGATTTCTGCCCTCAGTTTGATATTTCCTGGCGTCTACTCCTCCAGGGTGAATTTGCTTCCATTTGTTCTTGAGCTTGCAGCTGTGATGTCAACTCTCTGGTGTGAGTATTCTCTAGTTTCTTCGTGTGAGCACTTAGAACTATGAACTTTCCTCTTAGTACTGCTTTCAAAGTGGCCCATGAGTTTGGGTATGTTGTGTCTTCATTTCCAGTGAATTCTAGAAAGTCTTTAATTTTTTTCTTTATTTCTTCTTTGATCCAGGAATGGTAAAATTGTGTGTTGTTCAATTTCCTTGCGTTGGTAGGTTTTCTGCAATTTGTGTTGTTTTTGAATTCTAACTTTAAAACTTGGTAGTCTGATAAGACACAGGGGATTATTACAATTTTTTGTACCTGTTGAGGTCTGCTATGTTGCCGAGTATGTGGTTGATTTGTGAAAAGCTTCCATATGATGCTGAAAAGAAGGTATATTCTTTTGTGTTTGGATGGAAAGTTCTATAGATGTCTGATAATCCCAATTGGGTCAAAACTTCTGTTAGTTCCTTTGTCTCTTTGTTAAGTTCCTGTCTGGTGGTCCTGTCCAGTGATGAGAGTGGGGTGTTGAATTCTCCCATTATAACTGTGTGAGGTCTTATTTGTGATTTGAGTTTTAATAATGTTTCTTTTACGAATGTTCGTGCCTTTGTATTTGGGTCATAGATGTTTAGAATTGAGACTTCTTCCTGATGGATTTTTCCTGTGATGAATATGAAATGACCTTCTTCATCTCTTTTGATTGATTTTAGTTTGAAGTCTAACTGGTTAGATACTAGGATAGCTACCCCAGCTCGTTTCTTGGGTCCATTTGATTGGAATATCTAATCCCAACCCTTTACTCTGAGGTAATGTCTGTCTTTGAATTCAAGATGTGTTTCTTGTATGCAGCAGAAGGATGGATTCTGTCTTGGTATCCAATCTGCTAGCCTGTGTCATTTTATAGGTGAGTTAAGACCATTAATATTGAGGGAAATTAAGGTCCATTGAGTGTTTATTCTTGCTTGTTTTTGATTTGTTGTTGGTAGTTGTATTGGATGTGGATTTACACTGCTTTTTCTTTTGGGTTTTCAGAAAGTGGGATTATCAATTGCCTATGGTTTTTGTGAGTGTAGTTAATTTCCTTAGGTTGGAGTTTTCCTTCCAGTACTTTCTGTAGGGCTGGAATAGTGGTTACATATTGTTTAAATCTGGTTTTGTCGTGGAATATCTTGTTTTTTCCATTTATGGTGATTGAAATCTTCACTGGGTATAGTAGTCTGGACTGGCATCCGTGTTCTCTCAAAATTGGTAGAATATCTATCCAGGTCCTTCTGGCTTTCAGAGTTTCCATGGAGAAGTCTGGTGTAATTCTGATAGGTTTGCCTTTATGTGTTACTTGGCCTTTATCCTTTGCTGCTCTTAGTATTCTTTCTTTATTCTGTACATTTGGTGTTTTAATTATTATGTGACAAGGGGATTTTCTTTTGTGGTTCACTCTATTTGGCTTTCTGTAGGATTCTTGTGCTTTCGTTGGCATGTCTTTCTTAAGTTGGGAAAGTTTTCTTCTATGATTTTGTTGAATATGTTTTCTGCACCTTTGAGTTGGATTTCTTCACCTTCTTCTATACCTATTATCCTTAGGTTTGGTCTTTTTACAGTGTCCCATATTTCCTGGATATTTTGTGTTAAGGATTTGTTGGACTTCAGATTTTCTTTGCTTGATGAATTTCTTTCCTCTAGTTTATCTTCAACGTCTGAGATTCTGTCTTCCATCTCTTGTATTCTGTTGGTTATGCTTGCATCTGTGGTTCCTGATTGTTTACTCAGCTTTTCCACTTCCAGTATTCCCTCAGTTTGTATTTTCTTTATTGTCTCTAATTCAGTTTTCAGGTCCTGAACTGTCTCCTTCAGCTGTTTAATTGTGTTTTCTTGGCTTTTTTTGGCTTTCCTTGACTTCTTGCATCTTTTGGTTCGTCTTTTCTTCCACTTCTCATAAGGATTTTCTGATTTCCTGTCTTAGGGTCTCTATCATCTTCATGAAGTTGTTTTTAAGTTTGCTCTCTTCTGCTTCTTCTGTGTTGGGATGTTCATGTATTGCTGGTGTAGAGTCCCTAGACTCTGGTGTTGTCATTTTGGTTTTCCTGTTGTTGGATATGTTCTTATATTGTCGTTTTCCCATCTCTTCTTCCAGTGGGTGCAGGTGGAGTCACTTCCTTTCCTGGTGTGTATGGGTCCGGGGTTCTCTTTAGGTGGGTGCAATTGGCTCCGATACTCTGATGGGCCTCAAGGTGGGTGCAGGCAGGTCTGAGGCACTTGCTCTCCAGATGGGCGAGAGCAGGACTGGTGCAGAAATGTCAGCAAACTCTGGATTGTTTGGTCCTCAGGGGAGGAGTCGACCTGCCTGCAGACCCTGGGGTGGGATTTCCCAGAGGGGGCAGGTGGAAGTCGGGCCCAAGGCAGGGGCCGAAGCAGCTCACCTCTGCGCTCAGTGGAGACCAGAATAGCCCAGCAATCTCAGAAGACTCTGGGTTGCTTGGTCCTATATTCAGAAGTTTTGATGACTTTTCAAAGCCAGGTTTGACACTTTGATGGTAGCTGTGATGGTTGGCTGTGTCTTAGTCTGGCAACTCAGGACAGCTTTGTCCACTATTTATATTTCACACATTCTGCCTCCCAGGACCACTAGATACAGGATCCTCTTGCACAGACTTTTTACATGACAAGAGGAAAAAAATACATGCTGGTTATGGTGGGCTGGCCTTTAACGCCAACACTCAGGAGGCAGAGGCTGGAAGATCTCTGAGTTCAAGGACAGCATGGTCTCCAGAGACAGATTCAGGAAACCTAAGCTACACAGCAATATCCTGTCAGGAAACAAGCAAATAAAAACAAATAATTAAGAAACAAAACAAATATATGATGTTTGGTGAGCATTCACGTCTCCTGTTCTTCCTTTATGACATGCTCTGCTTGTGCCCTGTCCCCAACCCACACAGATCCTGCAGACTCCCGACAGATGGATCTCTCACCTGTCTAACTCATCCACTGGAGTCTTTGAGCCTCCAAAGCCACAGTAGCAGCCATAGTTGTTGTAATCCTTCAAGGGATGACTCCCGGGGATGGAGCACTTGATCACCTTACCGAACTGCCACAGAGCCCGACGCCTGATGCTGTGTGCATTAGCACCTGCTGTAAGAGTTCACAGCACATTCCATCAGTCCCACTTGGCTTTACCAGGGGTCTGACGTCTGTCTACTAGCTTCTCCTTGATTCCTACCAGCTGCTGCATCTGGAGAGCAGTGAATAGAAATGTGAGGCGATCAGAGGAGTTGGTTTTTTCCCTCCACTGTGTAGGTCTTAGAAATCAAACTCAAGTCACTAGGACTGAGCAGGTTGCTGTTTTCCTACTAGAGACAGAAAGCTGCCCTATATCCCAGGCTATCCTCCAAGTCTATAGCAAACCTCTGGCCTCCCAAGAGGTAGGATTATAAGTGAACACCACTCTAGTGAGCTTGGCACCTTCTCTGAGATTAAGTTCTATAGACATTGCCTTTTGCCTTGCTTGCCTTCTCATTTCTTACTGTCAGGACAGACAGCTGCCACAATGTGAGCTTCCCTCTGGTCCCTGTGTTGAGAAGCTGAGAACACTCTCCACTCAGCAGCCAGGGAAGGACTGACCTCTTAGTTCAATAACCCAACCATCCAACTCTCTCTTGAGTGTGAAGCCTGCCCTACTCCTACTCAAGCCTAGGTGAAACACTAGCCTTAGCCAGCAGGGGGATTCATCACAGTTCTAGCTAAGACCTTGAGCCAGAGTAGCAGTCAACACATGCTCATTGTTTTACACAGGAGAATTAGAAGAAATCTGTTGTATGGTCATACAGAGATAATATGCAAGGCTAATGATCAGTTCATCATGTGTAATGTCAGCATTTGACATAACAAACTGTTCATCGGCTGAGGAGCAGGTAAATAAGCCAGGATTCAGTCTGCACTTGGATACTTGGCCACCATTAAAAATGAAGGAGAATCCAGGTACAGTGGAACACACACTGGTTAATCCCAGCTATCTGGAAGCAAAGGCAGGTGGATATCTGAATTCCAAGGCAGCTTGATATACACAGTGAGTTCCAGGACACCCTGAGCTACATAGAGAAACTCTGTCTTATAAATTGAAAAAAATGGAATTGCACGTACAAGCCAGGCATGTATGTAATCCTAACACTTGGGATGTTGAGGCAAGTCTGGGCTGTAATGTTGATTTGGAAGCATCCTCAGCAACATTATAAGATTACATAAACAACAAGAACAACAAAGGTGATGAGGATGAGGATGATGAAGCCTAGAGAGATAGCTCAGCAGTCAGGACCACTGATTGAGCTTGTGTAGGACCCAGGCTGGGTTCCAGAATTACATGGCAGCTCACAGTTCTGGAAGATCAGACCCCTCTTCTGTCCTCCATAGGCACTGACCACACACAGATTACAGACACACATGCAGTCAAAGCACTTATACACATAAAATGAAAGTGCATATTTTCAAAAAGATAAGAAAAATCAAATTGCCAGGACAGGTTAGGGCCAGGGAAATCGGTACCAGGGCAATATGGCAGAGGCAGAGGGGCTTTCTTTGTTTGGGTAGGTTATGTAGTGGACTTTTCTAAATGTTTGTCTGAGTTCAGACCTAGAGGCTAAAGGTGCCAGCTGTTGTGAACATGCAGGTGGCCATGGAACCCCAACACAGAGGATATTAGACCCCAATGGGAACCCAAAACTAAAACTTCAGGAGTGACCAGCTGGGATCTGTGCATTGAAGACAAGGGAGATGGTAGGACACTCAGAGGGTACAAGGGTCCTACCTGTGAGCAGAGTGATCAGCAGAAGGAGTTTCATCTTGAGTGAGGAGAGGACTCAAATGACTGCTCTCTTTATAGTCTTGTGGCTGTGCTCTGACAGTGTCCAGTCAGCACACAGTCTGGCTGCCAAGGTAACTGTAGATGGTGGCAGAGCCTGAATCAGTGCTGTCACAGAGGCAAAGAGAAAGGGCTAGCTTGCCACCCCACAGCAGCTCAAATACAGTGACTGACAAAGTGCCAAGTTCCTCCCTAATAAATGCTTTGAGGTCATAAGAAGATATAGATATTGTTCCTGGTGTTGCATCTGAGGGATTCTGATAGTGACATGTGGTCCTAGGCAGGAGTAGGTGTCCTCAACAATTCTCCATGTTAACATTATAAACTAAGTGCTAAGTCTGTCCCAAGACCTGACACAGCTTTTGAGCAGATCCAATTACAAATTTAATTTTAATTAACTAATAAATTAATTAATATGAGAGACTGAGAGAGTGTTTGTGTGCACATTTGGAGGTCAGAGGACAACTCTGTGGAGTCCCTTCTCTTCTTCTACCTTTAAATGGGTTTCAGGAATTGAACTTGGGTCTATATGCTTGACTCTATTTTAAAAAATTCTTCTTAAGAAAAAAGACAGCAAATGTCCAACACTGTACCCATAGTCCAATGTAATGGAGGCAATCACTTCAGCTGAGGCTTTCACTCACCAGCGTGTGAAGCTGACAATCAACCATTACAGGGGGTGGAGAGTTGGCTCAGCTCTTAAGACTTTCTGCTCTTGCTGAAGATTAGAGTTCAATTCTTAACGCCCACATGGTAGACAGGGGACAATGTCTGCAGGCCCAATGCCTTCTCACATTTTGTTTGGTTATCTCTCATGTACCCTCCACCAATAGCACCCCAGCACCTGCATTTCCCCACTTCTACCCTTCCCCCCATAAAGACCTTGTAGGAGTGAGTTGAGTTGGTTGTCTTTGTGTTTAAGCTCACTCTACCCTTCCAGCAGGACTGTGGACAGCCACAACCTGCTACTACCAATCACTGGGCCTGTGCATGGGGCTCTAGGTCCACCTGTGGCTCACCAGACCTGATCTAGGGAGGGACAAGGCTGGAAATTTTGGCCAGGAGTGTGCATGGGTTGGGGGTGGAAAGGTGGAGGACTGGGCAGCTGTTCACTAAAGGAAAAAAGAGACTGAAAACCATGTAACAGTAAACCAGCCAAGGAAACGCCTTCTTCCTAAATCTGATTGACCAGGGAACCAGAGATTAATTTGGCTTGTCGAGAAAGGTAGAAAAGATGATGTGTTCTCTTTTATTTTTTGTAAAAAGCTAGGAAGCTGTGTACTTTAGTGGAATATTTATTCTGTGGCATGTGTTTAGGCACAGTGAAGTTTCAAAAGCCACCAGAGAGTAATCATGCCTGAAGATCATTAGCTGGCAGTCCACTTTGGTTTCCTGTATCCCACTTCCTATAATGAGCGCACAGCAGAAGCCCTCTGAGTCCAGTATTTCTAGGCTCAAGATGTTTCCTTTAGTGCCCATGTGACATGGCATCTTTCTCTCTTCTCTCTCCTCCTATCTCTCTGTCTTCTCTTTCCTTCCCTCTCCACCTTTTCTGTCCCTATCCCTGCCTCATTTCTCCCCTCCCCTCCCCCTTCTGCCTGCCTCTACCACCCTATGTATCTCCGGCTGAGTTCTTCTTTTGATGTACTTGTTTTTTGAAACCAGGTTTCTTTGTGTAATAGTCCTGGGCTCTCCTGGAACTTGCTTTTTAGACCAAGTTGGCCTTAAACTCAAGAGATGTGCTTTCTTCTGTCTCTGCATCCCTGAGTGGTGAGATTAAAGGCATGGCTGGGCTCATCACTCACTTTTCAAGTGCTCCCCCAATGACAATGTCTTTCCCATTAATCTACATCATCTAGGGCTGGAGTAAATGATGTTCTCTAAGGATCTAGTTATGTTTAGTAGAGAGAGAATACAATCACCAAATCACAGTTCTATAGGTTCTTTATTAGAGGGCACAGTGTGTAGCAAACAAAACCAGTTAGGCAGATATGGTATAGGCAGTAACTGGGGTGACAAGTCTAACAGTGAATGCCTTTATAATCTTTGTTTTATAGAGCCTTGGAAAAGCAGACAGGGGCATGGTGGTCACAGTTGCGGATGAAGGTGTCACAGGCATTGTTTTGTCTTCAGGGAAAGAAGAAAGGAAGCTGAGTGGAGCCCATCACCCTACTCTGTACAATTTGTTTGTTTAAATAAATTTTCATTTAAATTAAAAACCATCTTATTTTACATATCTTTCCCAGTTCCCTCTCCCTCTTGTCCTCCCATGGCCCCACTGACCCCTCCCCATCTACTCCCCAGGGAGGGTGAGGCCCTCCATGGTGGAATCATCAAAGTCTTAACACATCACTTGGGGCAAGACCTAGGTCCTCCACCATGTATCTAGGCCAAGGGAGTATCCCTCCATTGGGAATGGGTCCCCGAAGTCCACTTGTACACTAGGGATAAATACTGAGATGGCTCAGCACTTAAGAGCACTTTCTGCTCTTGCTGGAGGATTGCAAGCAAGGAGATTTTATTCCTAAATCTGCCAGCAAACCAGACATTAACTTGGCTTTAGCAACAGAGTCAGGTAAAATTCTCTGCACCCACATTGTAGCTGTTGAACAATGTCTGCTGTCCCAATTCCCTCTCCCCTTGTGTTTGGCCATCTGACATGTACCTCTAACTTCACACCCCCCACTTCTCACCTTCCCTGGGTAACAACCATGTAGGGGTGAGTTAACATGGTTGTCTCCATGATCAACATCTCCTTACCCTCCCAGCAGGAGTCTGGCCAGCTCTACCAAGTCGTACAGTCACTGCGCCTGCACAGGTGGCTCTAGGTGCACCTGTTCCCCATCAGGTCTGACCATAGAAGGGCTGAGGCTGGATCTTTGGGCAGGAGTTGGAATGGCGGTGGAATGGTGGAGGACTGGGCAACTGTTTACTAAAGGAAAAGAGAGACTGAATGTCAGGGGGCCTTTAACCAGCCAATGAGACATCTTATTCTTAAATCTAGTTGACCAGGGAATCAGGGATCAACCTAGCTTCACTTGTGTGGTCCCAGGGAGGAGAAAGTTTGGGGAGACAACAGGTTCTGTTTTGTTTGTTGTAAAAAAAATTAGGCTGCTGTGTGCTGTAGTGCTCCTCACATGGGAGTGGGAAACAAGAAACAAAATTGGGCTGACAGTGAATGAGCCAAAGACAGGATGACATCCTGGTGGCCTTCCAGTCTTCACAATGGCTAAACACACACCACAGGATAAGTGTCTACCTAAAATTCACAGCAGCCTAGCTTTACAACAAACAAAAGAGAACACGAAATCTCCTCGAACTTTGTGTTTTACCTGACTCTGTTGCTAAAGCCAAGTTAATGTCTGGTTTGCTGGCAGATTTAGGAATAAAATCTCCTATTGTATGATTTAAGGCTATGTGATTTTCAGTCTCTCTTTTCCTGTAGTGAACAGCTGCCCAGCCCTCTGTCTTTCCACACCACCCCCGTTTGACTCCTTCTCAGAGCTCAGGCCTTGCCCCTTCCCAGGTCGAACCTGGTGAGCAACAGGTGCAAATAGAGCCTCCCGTGCAGGAGAAGTTACTGGTAGGAGTTGTTAATGGCTATCCAGAGTCCCGCTGGAAGGGGGACCCTGACTGTGATGACAACCAACTCAATTCAAACTTACATATTTTATCTGGGGAAGAGGAGGAAAGTGGGGAAAAGGAGGTGCTGGGGGCCTAAGGAGGGTACATGAGAGATGACCAAATGCAGAGACCATAGGGCACTGGGGCAGCAGACATTGCTCAACAGCCACCATGTGGATGCAGAGACGAACTCCAGTCCTCCAGCAAGAGCAGAAAGTGCTCTTAAGTGCTGAGCCATCTCTCCAGCCCCTGTAATGATTTATTGTCAGCTTCACACACTGGGGAGGGAGAGCCTCAGCTGAAGGATTGCCTGCATCACTGTGGCCTGTGGGCACAACTGCTAGACATTTGCTTGTTTTTTTTCTTTTCTTCTTTCATTCTATTTTTATTATTTTTTTATTTTAGAGGCACTCATATTTACATGTCCATCCCCACATTCCCTCAACCTCCCATCCTTCCATGTTCCCCACCAACCCCCTCCTTGATTCTTCCTGACCCTGCCCCTCAAGTAGAGTGAACCTGCCCAGACAGGAAGGCCCATCATGAGTCTGGCAACACTTCACCCTTGTCCCCACTCTGCCCTCTGCCTGTCGCCTGAGGTGAGTCTGGGCACTGCTCTAGCCCTAACTCTCCCAATCACCCCCTCCTCGAATCTTCCTGGGCCATCTCCTCCCATTGAGTGGACCCACCCAGACAGGAAGACCCACCCTGAATCTGGGCATACCTCACCCTTGACTCCCTCCACCCTCATTCTATTTTTATTGGTTTTTTGAGACAGGGTTTCTTTCGTACTTCTGGCTGCCCTTAACTCACTTTAGTTCAGGGTGGCCTTGAACTCATATATTACTCTGCCTCTGCCTCTCAGTACTGACATTAAGGGCATGCTTCACCACCACCATGGTAGAGTTACATTCTCAGTTTTCAAGAGAGTTCGTAGTTTAGTAACATGCAGCCTATGATGCAAGCCTGTACATATGAGTTCAATTCCTGGGACCCATTTAAAGGTAGAAGAAGAGAACTGACTCCACCGAGTTGTCCTCTGACCTCTGTGAGAGTTGTCCTCTGACCTCCACGTGTGCACACAAGTACTCTCTCTCTCTCTCCCTTACTAACTCTCTCTCTTTTGGTTGCACTTACACATAACACATATGCAAATTATCAACTAATTAATTAAAGATCCAAATTGCGAGTAGATCTACCTCCTGGGCTGTGTTGGATTATTGTGACAGACTCCGTGCTTAGTGTAGACAGTTAATATGGAGGATTATTGGAGCCAGCTACTCCTGCCTGTGACCACATGTCACTCCCAGTGTCCCTGAGGCTCAACCCCAGGAGCAAAGTCTATGTCTTCTTATG